AGAATGTGACAAAGAAAGGGGCTTCGTGTACAAAATATTTCAAACAAATTCTCTTATATCCTTTAATGATCAACAAAGCATTTTGCAAACACCAGTTTCTAAAAAAAGGCAGCTTCCAAGGCAGGTTAAAAACACTTCTGAGGGTTGGAAACCCACACAGGCTGTAGGAATATGTGCATTCACAGCAGCTAGTTCTTTAATGGCTTTTGCCTTAGTTTCTTCCTTTATAAAAAGGAGAATGATAATGTTGGTAATTATGACTACATGGTAAGGTTATTGGAGCATTTTGTCAAATATAAAAGGCATGTCGCTCTGTACTTTGCATAAAGTAAGTGCTTAATCAATATCGGCTATTTATGTGTGTGTGCGTGTGTGTGTATGTGTGTGTGTGCATAAAGAGATGTCTTGTAAGATGTTCCATCAATGTATTGACCATGGTCATTTCTGATTCATGGGATTTTAAGTAATTTTTACCTTTTTTGAACTTTTTGCTACAATTTGAATTTTTCCAATAAACATGCATTATTTGTGTAAAAACTATAAAGCGATTTTTAAAAAATCCATACTTAGCAATGAAACATTTCAGATAATGTAGTTGAGTGGGATGCAACTTTACTTGTAACAGCCTTTCCAATGATCAGACTGAATAGTTAACCCTTCAGTGCTAAAAACTCTATTTCGGAAAAAGCTCTTTGTTTCACATTTTTCATAATTAAATGGTCTATTATAGGTGGGAGCTTTTTACAAAACAAGGAGTTCCTTAAAGGTAAGAAGAGTCTCCTCCACTGAGAATATGTAGGCTTACAGCTTTGAAAGGATACATTTTTGATTTTTAGTCTGGGAGTCTTCCAACCAGTGTTCATGGATTTTGAAGACAGAAGACAACAAAACCTCCCCAAGGAGACTGTTAGCTTTACTAGGGTAGGGAAAGTATAATTCACCTTTGTATTCTCAGGGCTTGACACAGTGCCAGGCGTGGAGTAGGTACTATATAAATATTTTTATATTGAATGAATAATTGAATGAATGAACGATAACTTTAAGGGCTGAGTTTCTGCTTGGGAGATGGAGAGAGTCACACCCTCTTACATACTAATATTTGAATAGGAAATTTAGAAAAATTAAATGGGAGCAAAGTAATTTTAACTAGGAGCACACATAAGACCAAAATTGAAGTAGAAAATTCAATGCCCCTTTATTGAAGGCCTACAGCACACGAGGCCCTGATCTACGTGTTGAGGACAGTTGTGAAGAGGAGCTTAATTACAGTAAGGAACACAGACTTTGATCAAGTCATGACATGTGGGAGCTGAGTCCCAGCAGGGAAAGAGCTGGATGCTTTGGCGGCATATGATGGGGGCACCCAGTCTAGGCTGCAGTGGGGAAAGCAGATATGGCCAGGGAAGGCCTTTGTAAGAAATGGACATTGAAGTTGAGACCCAAGTTTGATGAGAAGGAGCAAGAAGAGTCAAGAGTGGCAGGCAAAACATTTCAGAAGCTTCCAAGGTGGAGAGATAGAACAAGCAAGGTGACCACACATACAATGATCCTAATCTGGGGAAGAATTTGTGACATGTGAGGAACAGAAAGAAGGTCAGTGTGAGCAAGGCACCTGCGAGAAGTGGGCCATGGCAGGGATCATATCACTCAGGTTAGGGCCCATGTGGAGAAAGTCAGGGAGGAAGTTGGGATTTGATAGGAAGTGCAATGGGAAGATCTTGAAGAGCTTTACTGTGACAGTAACCGTAATCTTATTTATATTTTCAACATGGAATAGCTGTTGGGTGATAGAGGGCGTAGAGTGAGGCTGAGTGGAGGCAGAAAATAGTACAGGTGAGAAATAAGGGTGACCCGGACTATGACCTGGGACTTTCTGTAGATAATAGACATAGAGAGAAGTGGATGGATTTGAGCTATGGTTTGAAGGTAAAACTGATAAGACTTGGCACTGGATTGAAAGTGAAAGGGCAGCCCTATTTAACTCTGGCTGTTCCATCTAACAGCAGCCATCCTTTCTCATCCCAGCACTCTCTCCCTCAACCTCCGTTCATGGTTTTGTTTTTCTACCAGGTACTTGTTACCATGGGACATATTAAGTTTTATTTGTTTTCTCACTATTAATAATCTGTTTATTACAGCTTTAACTTTTGTCTGTTTTGTTTAACGTTTTATTCCTGATGCCCCAAACATTCTTGATACATATTAGGTATTCAATAAATATTTATTGCCTTATTGAATAAGGGCATTAATTTAATAAATGAATAAGTAAATGAGGGTGAGACAACATAAGTGAAGAATGTTTTTAGTTGGCTATTGCTTCATAACAAACAAACCTAGAATCTCTGTGGTGTACAACAACAGACATTACTTTTTCTTACTCTTGGGTCTGTGAATCAGCTTGGGTAGCTGTGCTTCAGGCTTGCAGGTCTGTTGAGCTAGGCTCTGGACTGTGGGTTGGGATCCACTCTGCTCCATGTGTATTTTCATCTTCCTTCGACCAATGGCTACCTGGAGTCTGTTCTTCTAAATGGTGGGTGGCAAAAGCACAAAAGACCAAATTCAATTTCAAATGAGCAAGGAAGCATATTTCACCTTCTCTAGTGGAAGATACTGCATGGCAAAGGGTATGAATGTGTAATTCCACAACAGGGAGAGATTGAGGGTTAAAGACCTATAATCCAATCTTCCATTATGACAGCTAGGTATGGCTTGAACAGCTACATGGGTGGAACTGCCATTTATTGGTATGGGGAAGACTGGAGCAGGAACAGGTTGGGGAGAGAGGATAAAAATTAGGAGTTCAAATTTTCACCTGATAAATCCAGTGAGACTGCTGATGACAGGAATCACAAGTGGTAGAAATGTAACTGGCTTAAGCAAAAGCAGAATATACTGGTGAATGTAATTGGGAAGTCTAAGGAGGATCTTCAGAGCTTCAGGTACAGCTGGATCCAGGGACTCAAAAATTTTTGTCAGGGATTTGACTTAGCTTCTGTTTCTTTGATCTGTTTCTCTCTTTTGGCTTCATTTTCAAGCAAACTGCCTCCGCATGGTGGTGAGATAGCTCCAGGCAGCCTCAGAGTCACCCTTAGCTTAGCAATGATAGTAAAAAGAAGGACTTTTCTCTCTCAACATCCATATATCAGTTTAAAAGATGATACTGTTATTTTGCTTATGTCATATGTCCATTTATCAACCAATCACACTGGCCTGGGTAGCTGGGGCACTATGATAACCCTCCTGGGTCATGTGCCCATCTCTGGGGTAAGGTGTCTTGTGCTGTAGTTAATATAGTAAGGAAATGATATCACAAAGGAAGCAGGAAAAAGAGGATTGGGAGGTATCGAGGCAGACAAAATCCAAACTACTGCAGTCTGGTAGAGATGGTAAGAGGGCAGTTGAACTTATGGGTCTGGCATTCATTAGCCACATTCAAGGTGGAACCAGAAATTTGGGAATTGTCTATAATAGATGGTACTAGAGGCCTGGGAGTGAATAAGATTATCTATTGGAGTATGAAGAGAAGAGGGTTTATTGTACTGTAAAATGAATACACATTTTACATGACAAATAGATTTGCTAATTCATTCTTAGAAATTGCTGGCATATCAGGACAATACATGTGTTTTTTAAAATAAACACCTGTATAGAACTTACTATGTGTCAGGAATTGTTCTAAGAACTTTGCAAGTCTGTATGCATGTAATCCTCATAATTCTATTAAGTTGATACTATAGTTATACCCATTTTACAGATGACGAACCTGAGGCAGAGATTGGATTAAGAAACTTGTGCATAGTCAAACAGGTAGTGAGATAGTCTGTGTTCAAATGAAGAAGTCTGGCATCAGAGTTCTCATGATTAAGACTTCATGTAGTTAAAGAACTTCTAGAGAACATGAAGTTTTCATCTCTTTCCCTTCTCCTCAATTCCATAACACTTTCAGATTTTCACCTGCTGCTCTGGATTTGTGGTGGGGTACACATGTGGTTTGGCTCATCTGATACTATGTTTCTGAGATGAAAACTGAGAAGGTAGAACCCCGGAGGTTATTCGAGTTAACTTGGGGAGTGTTCGCCATCAGGAGAAACAGATGCTGTTTAAGTCAGGAAGAAATGAGTGTTCGCTCCAAAGCCTGCTTCAGAAAGCCTCTTTGTTTTATGACTCTGGGTGCAAGCAACCCTTTTAATTTTGTGTCTTGGATTCCAGCCATAGGAGGCCTTCTTTAATGTAGCAGATGGCTGGAGACAGGCAAACCAGGTTTCTACACTCTACATTAAGCTGCCTTCCCTAGAGAGGAGTCTCCTAATTATGTTGCTCTGAAAAAGAGAAGAAAAGATACCTTAAAATGGACACACTAAACCTATACCACGTGTAAACTAACCACCCTCTTAAGCGTCTGCAAACATGTGGAGGTCAGGAAACCTTTGAGAATCTGATGAAAGCTATAGGCTTTTTCTGCAGAAAATTTGTATGTAGGTATATACACAAAAATGTGCACATTAATTCCCAGGGGTGGGGTCACGGATTCTCTGATATCCTTCCCTGAAGCTTCAAGGAGTCTGTGGCTGCCAGATTCCTGTGCTTTGAGTGGAGGCAGCTGTCATTCTTTTACTTTTTCTTTTTCCAATACATTATGATCTCAACTTCTGAGTTATGAAAATAAAGGGTCTGTGGATTATAAGGGAAGTGTTTCACACCAGAACACCAAAATTTTACTGGAAAAAAACTCCTTTCAAATATTGGATAAAATTACTTTTCCATATTCTCTGGTCAGCCTGGAAGCTTGGCTCATTCTGTTAAAGACTGACATGAAAGCTCTTCTGACAAACATGATGAACTTTTTCTTTCTGGATTGTGGGGTGTGCCTCTGCACATCATTTCCTTGGAACCTCACTCATCTCAGAACTCCTCAGTTGAGTTCTGGTTTCTGCACTGTTTTCAATATTAAGAATTGTGTGCAGTCGGCAGTCTGTCAATTAAAGAATAACACACAATTCTCAGAATTTCGAAAGGAAGCTTTATTGTTTCCGAGGACTCTGCTGGAGGAGTCATACATACTTCGCCATTTCTTCCTCTGATGTCCATTTGCCATGATTGTCTGAGGAAGGGAGAAAAAGTCTTTGAAGTGGCTACCAGGATCCTTTGCAGATCTCTGGGATGTCATTGACTCATGCTTCTATGGTGGGTGACTCCCAACATCATCACATTCTTCCAATTCTCCCAGTAGGGTATGCAGTAGTCATATAGGCAAAGCTTTCTGAGCTACAGCAAACTATGAAAGATATTTAAGATATTTATTAAAGATTTTCAAACCAAAAACAATTTGCCTCAATTACCACACATTTTAAAATAAAAAATACAGAAATATTTGTAAATTATTCCAGTTCTTCATCTTCCATATGTTGTCTCACCTTTCCCAAAAGTTGCCTTCTTCTTAGACCTGAAAAACTCAAGGTGGGAGTAGGTCATGGGCTAAACATTTAGGCTAATTCTCTACATCAGATTGATAATGTAAAAGATTATTGAAAAAATTCAAAGGAAAGGATTATTTCTTCCATAAACATCAACCCAACCCAAGAAAAACTATTTGGGATTTAAATCAGGGTTTCTCAACCATAGCAAAACTGACATTTTGGGTTGACTAATTTTTGGTAGAAGGAGGCTGTCCTGTGCATTGTAGGGTGTTCAGGAGTGTCTCTGGCCTCCACTCCCTAGATGCTAGTAGCACCGCTCTCCTAGTTATGGCAACCAAGAACATCTTCAAACATTGCCAAATGTCTCCTGGGGGTGCAGTCATCCCTGGTTGAGAATTATAGGCCTAAATTGTACAGAAATGGGTTTCTCTACAAGTAAAGTAAAATTGAGTATTGGAGTTACTTTTATCTGGTCTTCTCGATCAGGTGAATGGCTGAACGAAAAAAGCAATTTGTCTATTTTGATGCCCCACTGACTATGTCGATCTGTTCAGATCATACTGTTCTACATTTGTTCTTAGATCCCATTTGATTGCCAAAAACAGGGACTTCCTTACTTCATTCTTATGGTTCTGGGATGTCTATTCATTTGCTATTTTATAATGTTTTTTACTATATAGATATTTAGTGATCCCTCTGATTTTCTATAGCCTTTGAGGTCTAGGTAATTTCTTAGACCTTCAGAAGGCTGCTGGTTTGGTACTAAAATTTCCAGTCCTCCCTTCTATGTTATCTCTTCCAACTTTAGACCTAAACTGAGCTCAAACAGCAATTTGGAGAGGTTGGAGTCTCTGGTTGATTTGATCAGTATGTGGACACATAACTTAGGAAGCAAAATTGTTGGCTGTGAGATTACATATGTGATTATGGAAAGGAATCTCGTAATCACAAATTCTTCTGACATATGTATAGTGACTGCAAAACAGCAAATAATTTGTTTTGGGAAGGATTTTACTGGCTGTTTGAAGTGAGGAGTATCTCTACCATACCAAATATTTAAACCAAATTGTTATGTCCTATAATGTTCAACAAAGCACTCTGCAAACATCAGTTCTGGAAAAAAAAAAGTATCCTCCAAGGCAGGATTATATGCACTTCTGGGAGTTGTAAACCCATGCAGGCTCCAGAAATATTTGCCTTCCAAGGGCTGGAAACTTCTGAATTAACAACAAATAATCAGTGAGTGTGACAAAGGGTTAAAGTACACAGACTTTACTTTCTCAAAGTTTATGATGTAGTAAAGAAGTTTAAGATGGAGACCTGAAATTGCAAACTGGTGGCCAGTAGGCTAAATCGGGACCATGGATTTGTTTTGTTTGGCTTGCATGTAGCTGGCCTCCAGAATGTCTAACAGAGTGAGAGGAAGGGGGGGGGGGGGGGGGGGGGGGTGTGGCGGGAAGGAGACAGGCAAAGAGAGAGAAAAATAGAAAGAAGTTGCTAAACAGATATAATTGAGATTTTTGCATAAAAATATAAATTTCCAGCTTTGCTTGAAAAATCAGAATATCTGCCAACACTGGGCCCCTATTCCCACATTTCCCTATGGTAACGGTTGGTTGGAATGAAATAGCAGTGACCCCTTTGGTCTCTGGAACTAGACACTAGCTCTCTGGTTTCTTCCCCCACTTCCCCTTCACTCTTTTACTAGGCCTCTGTCACCATTTGAGATGGCCACCCCTAATGCAGAGACTTCTGGAACATTTATTTAGTTTCTTCTCCATTTAAATAAACTTCTAGAGCCTGGAGCAAAATAGCAGCTGAGGCATTTGTGTGTCAGATGAGATGACCCTGGCTCAGGCCATGGAGGTGGCAATTGAGGTGTGAGAAATGGTCAGATTTAGGATATATTTTGAAGAAAGAGTTAGTAGAATTTCCTGATGGATTGGATCAGGGTGTGAAAGAGGATTCCAAAATGACTACGATTATGATTTTTACTTATTTTAAAAAGAAAACCTATACTAGAACATTGGAGAGCCAGTATTTACCTTTTAAAATAAAAACAAAAATATTCAAAAGCTTTTTCTTACTAGCACTCTTCAAAGCGGGTTTGCTATGTGGTACCAATATTATATTCTGGGAAATGCTGACAGTTTTGGAAATTTGGAGGAAAAAGCATTGAGAAGAGCTCCAATTACTAAGAAAAGAGAGTCCAGGAGACTGGGTGGTGTATATAAGCCTATGGATGGCATCTCTGCACCTCAGTGGCCCCACCTGTCCAGGGGCTGGGTCCCCACGGGATCTCCCTCCTCACAAGGAGCTGGAGAGGGAATGTGTCTTGAACAACTGGGGTTGCAATCCAGTGTATGGACAGTCCCACTCCTGGAACTCCAGGGTGGGCACTCGCTCCATTTCCACAGGCCCGCAAGGGTTCCAGGATTGCCCCGTGGGAGGGGTTTCAGTGCTGCATCTAGTAAGAAGCTGTAAGATGCTCAGAAACATGTTTTGAAGCTACTTTGCGCAAAAAGAAGATTCTTCATTCAGATTTGTATTACAAATCAATAAAAGTAGCTAAGTAGTATCTGAAGATGTTTTTGTTCACACTTTATATGTGACAGAAAATCTCCAGTTGTCTGTATCAACGACAATTACTTAATTTTATTACAATGTATGCTGATTTGGTTAGTGGAAGCTACTAGCGGCTACTGTGGTGGTGGTGGGAGCTATCTGACTGCCATTCCCAGGCCTGGCCATCGATGCGAAGGCCTCCAGCTGATCGGAAGTCGGCGCTGGCCGGCGCGGAGCCAGGCGCGCAGCCTTCTTTCAGCCGCTCTGGCAAGGCACCCCTCCCTCCGTCCCGCAGCGGTCACTCGGCCTCTGGCGCGCATGCGCCGACCCCAGCGGGCGTCCTCCCGGGCTCCCTTTCCCTCCCTCCCTCATCCGGGTCCTGGGCGAGCGGGCGCCGTGCGCGTGTCCCGCGGCCGAGCTGCTAATAAAGTTGCAGCGAGGAGAAGCGCAGCGACGGCGTTGGGAGAGCGCGCCCAGCCGGCCCGTGAGTGAGTGAGGGTCCCCGGCACGCGCGGGCGAGCGGAACCAGGGGCTGCGGGCTCTTCCCCGGCGGACTCGGGCCGAGGCGGGGGCGTTCGGCCGCGCACGGAACGGAAACGATCCGGGGCCTGTCGGGCGGGAGGTAGGCCGAGTCCTGGCCTGCCGGGGTCCCGGCTGGCGGACACGGTGCGGCCCAGCGGCTGCGGAGGCCTCGCCGGCTGGCCAGGGCGTCCTGAGGCGGGGCCGGGGCTGGCCCTTGTCCCAGCCCCGCCGTTACCGCCCAGACTTTGGAGGGAGGCGTCTGGGACGCCTTGGAAGGGACCCCCTGACCCCGCTCTGTCCTGGGGAGCGGTTTGCTTTCCTAACTCGTCTGATGTACCACCCTCGATACACACCCCTGATAGGACTGCGGTTCTCGGCCGGACAGCCTAGGCTGCTGCACTGCGAAGTTGTCCAATGGCTCGATGAATCCGTGCTGCTGTCGCTTTGTGTTTCAAAGATAAGGATCCGCGCTTATCGGTGGGAATTACACTCTGGGCAGTTGTGACCGGCTACTGCAATCAGCTGGTGGTTAGACCTGGTTTCCGCCACTTGCCATGTCAGTTTGCACCACTGCAAGGATTTCTTCTACTTCATGTAAACTCTGTGCTGCAAAGAGAATGCCAAAGCAGCGTCTTTTTGCCTTCATCATATTTAGCCGCTGGCCGGGTCCTATACTTTAATATCAGGGCTTAAATTAATATTCCAGTCTCTTCCCCTCCCCTTTTCCCCTCTCCCCCTTTCAGCTGCTGTTACTACGTGGAGTTTGGAGCCTAAGCTTTGAAAACTCCCATGTGGCGCGCCCGTCTTAATTCTGAGCATGCTCAGTAGGCAAAACAGATTTTTGGTTGCAGAACTCGGGCGAGGATAGTCGGGGTATTTGGACGTTTGCCGACTTCCTAACAGAATGTTCCGATTCTGGTGGTGATGGCATTGGAGAATGGAGCTTAGGCTGGCCTGTAGGTGAGGAATGGCTGAACACCCTGAGCCAGATCTTTATCTTGATTGTAAAGACAATGTTTCCTGACCAGCTGGAGCTTTGGGGGGGGGGGGGGTGTTGCGGGGGGAAGAAGCAATTTTGGCTGCTTGTGCATTTAAATGGGTGTGGTGCTAAGTATATCTTGTTTACCTTATCTTTCTGTGGAAAAGTTTTGATGTCTAGGTTTGTCACATCATGCCTGTTGCCTAGCACTACCAAAAGAGTTCTTATCTAGCAGCAAAGATTGGATAGGTGGAGGTCGTGGCTTGGCCTCACAGAAGTTGAGAGGAAAGGATACTTGGGTTGCGTTTTTTAAAATTCGTATTTAAAACTAGAGTACTTGAATTTCCGCAGAATACGTGAATTGCCCAGAGTGAATTAGTTTTTAATTTTAATTTGAAAGGCAAAAGTTTGAAAACCTTAGTCCCAGTAGGTTTAGTAACCTTCCAAATAACTTACAATTTCTGCTAGATGCCAGTGCAGTAGTGTCCGTTGTGGGGAAAACAGTACCTACACTCAGTGTGACAGTTTCACATTTATTGATCCAAATATCATTATGAAATTAGTGTTCCAAATTCCATAAGGAGCTATCTGCAGATGTGTAACAAATTATTTTAATCTTTTATTCCTTTGGTAACTATTAATATTTTTTTCTCTACGGTGAAAATTGTAAAAATACAAAACTGAGACAATTTAACAAAACTTAATCTTCATAAAGGTTGTAGATATTGTGTTTAGATTTATAAAGTTTAATTTTGATGATTATTTGTATGATTGTTCTTATTCATCTTCCTTTCCTTCCCTCTCCACATTGCTGCTCCCTCAGTCTTTTGTACATTGCTGCTGTTAATTTACCCATGTACCTTTGTTAAAAATACCTCATTCATCATTTTGTGCATTCCTTTCAGATCATAGCCGAAATAAGCAAGAAAAGTTAGATTAACCTTCTCAACTGACTTTTCTCTCAGGTTTTAAAGGCATCCACATGATATGGTCTAGTTAAAAGGAGGAAGAGAGCAGCAAACTGGAAAAAAAGAATAAAATATTTTCGTAGGTTCTGTACAGATCTGGTAGTATTATCTGCGTGTCTGGTTCACTGTGGTAGGCGCCACAGAAATGGGTAGATTGATAATGTGTTGCATTTCTTTCCCCTCTGGCAAAGTCAGCTATTAATTTCAGTGGGAGACAGTGGCAGAATGTTGTTACTAATGAGGTTTGAATCAGATTGTTGTTTACTGTTGGTTATGTAACATGTTGCTGGGAGTATTATTAAAAGTTGCATTCTGTAGCAAAGTAGAGGCAAGTAAATTCTGCTTACCCTCTTCACTGGGTTTTAATTCTTGGCTGAACCTGAAGGCACATTAGACTACAACCATAATTATACCTGGGCAGCCTGTCTGTTTCCTGTTTTCATCATGAACCCAAACATTATGATTTGCAATGATGATCTTTTTTGTCCTTTGCATTGAACGGAGGCAGTGTGTTTTCTCCCTCTACTGAAAACAGATTTGTAACTTGGTCAAATTAAAGATTTTAGTGTTTTGAAAACTAGGCAGTAAAATACCAGTTTTTCATTTCTTAATACAGTAACTTAAATTGAAATACCATCTAAAAAATCTATTTCATATATATTCTTTGTATTTGTAAATTTTAATATTGCTAGTACTTTGTAGAGTTAAGGAAACTTTTTGTTTATGACATATCAGTGTTTATTATTACCAGATGTATATGTTGGTCTAGGCAATGAGCCACACATCTGGGTGAATTTCAGAGCTGACTTGAGTACACTTGATGATATAGGTGTCTATTCTCTTGGTTTATCAGTCTTCTCTATTTTTATTTCTAGAGGGTCTATGTTCCTTGTATCTGTCTGTCTCTCTCTGTGTACACTAAGCACAAAGAAGAAGGCAAATAGTTTATTTCTTCAGGTGTTACAAGCAGCTTATATCCTATGGTTTGCCAGTCTACTCATAAGGTCAAAGACATTGAGTAAGATTCCCTTTTATAAGGGATACTAGTAGCCTGAGGAATGATTCTTATCTCTACCAGTCTGGATATTCTAGAGAAAAGAATACCTGGGAAGGTAGGGCCCAAGGAAGCTGGGGTGCAATATAGGGTGCTTTCCCATCAAAACAGATGATGAAGGACCCCTGGAAGCTGACCCGTGTCTTCCCCCTGCCCGACAGAGTCTTGCTCTGTCACCCAGGCTGGAGTCCGGAGGTGTGATCTTGGCTCACCACAACCTCTGCCTTCTGGATTGGAGCAATTTTCCTGCCTCAGCCTCCCAAGTAGCTGGGATTACAGGTGCCCGCCACCACTCACGGCTAATTTTTGTATTTTTAGTAGAGATGGGGTTTCACCATGTTGGCCAGGCTGGTCTTGAACTTCTAACATACTTTGTTTTTTCCAATTCTGAAGTTGATAGAATGATAGTCATTGGAATTTGCAGTTCGTTGGTGTTGTCACACACCATTTACCTGCAACCAGAACTCTGAATCTGAGAAGTATGTTTACTAAATGGGAGGTCAAGATTTAGAACTCTTTTGGAAGAATTGTTAAAAACTAGATTGTTGTTAAGACTAATCTCATAGGCCACTTTCATATTCTAACAGCCTTTGTTGTTTTCCAACTTGGAAAGATGGGGTAATTACAGCGTTCTTAGGTTTTTCATAAATTATCAGCTAGTTCTGGGCTATTTATTTGAGAGTGTCTCTCTCTGTAGCCCAGGCTGGGGTTCAGTAATGTGGTCTTGACTCACTGCAATCCTGCCTCCCGGGTTCAAGCGATTCTCCTGCCTCAGCCTCCGGAGTAGCTGGGATTATGGGCACCCACCACCACATCCAGCTAATTTTTTATATTTTTAGTAGAGATGGGGTTTCACCATGTTGGCCTGGCTGGTCTCGAACTTCTGACCTCAAGTGATCTGCCCGCCATGGCCTCCCAAAGTGCTGGGATTACAGATATGAGCCACTGTGCCTGACTGGGCTCTTTATTTACTTTTGATTTTTTTTTTTTTTTTGCCTTGGGCAGCTAGATGGGGAAGTTTTTGGCCCAATTCTAGTAGAGTGGTGTTTTCAGTGACTTTTCTTTCTCCTTTTACTGTATCCTAACTTGGTTGAGATGATATTTTGCAAGAAAGAGTTCTTTATTAAGTCAGTTCTGTATGTGCAATACTGTAATTGTAATTCACTTTTGGAAGCTAGTTATTAACATACATTTTGTAAATGGGTTTTGCTCTTGAATTTTTTGGGATCCCCCCTCATCTCTTCCTATAGCGTATGTGTAATTTATAGGCTGGTACTCTATAGAAGTTTGAAAATGACTTGACCTGTTAAGATTTTAGCAGTGTTTTTTTTTCTTTCGATATCCATATATGTTGTTTTGTTATACTGAAAATAATATTTAAAAACTAGTGTCCCATTCCCACCTTTTCTCTGAGCATAGCAACTGGAGTCTTGGGAGGAGGCTTACATTTTTCAAATTTAACTATGATCTCAGAATATGGCTGGTGTTTTCAAGGCAAGTTTTGTTTTGTTCAGTTTTGTTTTCATGATGTGTTAGGATCTGCCTAGGATCCTATCTGGTAGGCTGTATAACTTGAGATCTAGTTATTCTGGTTTGTGTGTTCCCAGGAAGAGGGAGTTCTGCAAAAATATTTAAAAGCCAGTCTTCTTCTATTCTTCTTAGTCACATCTTCTGCCCACTTGTCTACTGTACTCATTGACCATTTCTTATTCTTTGGAGTTGAAAGTGTAAGTTAAGTGAATGGTGACACTAGAGCTGAAAATGTAGCCAGAGCCATGTTTATTCCCTTTTCTTCTAAGCAGGGAACTAGAACTCTGGGTGCACATGAGCTATCTGGAGAACATCTTCATAATGCACTGTAATATATATCGTGTACACAGGTTAGCTCTTTGTGCTCCACAGACACATTTTACAGTCATGATTTGGTATCTGCACTTGATGGTTTTATAATTTAAAGGAAATCGCTACAAAGATTGACCAGCTCTGTGTCTGTTCCTGTGCCTACACGCCTGTACAAGCATACTCAAACACATCTGGTAGCAATGTAGGAAATCTTGCAGGCTCTGTGAAGGTGAGTGATACATTTAGATCAGGCTCTGTTTAATTAGGGGACTTAGGGGAGCAGGTGAAGCTTAAAGAATGATTAAAAACTGGGAAACAAAAGTCTGGCTGTGGGAGATAATAAAGTAGAGAATTCTGTGGGCACAGAGAGAATAGGCAAGAAGATTATGCAGTGAGAAGTATTGGGAATCATGAGTTCAGCTCCTGAAGGGCTTTGAAATCTGCTATGAGAAGTTCTGATGTCTTTGGAAATCGCGAGCCACAGTTGAGGAAAGTGGTGATTTAAATGTTTCTCTGTGAAAATAATTTTGGCGCCCATGTAATTGTATCCTGTCTTTCTTGTAGATGTTCCTGTAAAGAATAGGATTTCTGAATCTAGAAGAGCTGTGAGCAGACATGCTTTTGGTTTCCTTTTCCTCTCTGTGTGCAGTTGTGAATGTGGCTTACAAGTTTTATAGCAGTTGTATACCTGAATCTAGGGATGGTTTGACAGCGGCGGTGGTGGTGGTGATCTACTTGCTGACACTTGGTGAATACTGTTGATAATTAGAACCACAAGGGTAAGAGATTTTTAAAGCTTTACCCCCACATCCCCCCTGCCCCCAAAAGTTACCCTTAGGTTATATGTATGCAAGTGTCTTTCTTCCATTGCAGGGGATCTTGAGCACCTTGGTTCCCAAGCCTGCTGCGTGGTCCGAGATTCTTGTTAAAAATGTGGGTGATAAGGCCCTTCTGCCAAGCCTAGTG